TAAGTCTTCTCAATACAAATGAGTTAAAAATGCAGAATCTGTTTACAAAGGGTTGGTTTCCTATTGTAACAGCAAAAGAAGGAGGTTGGGATAGTGCCCCTGTATGTTTTGCAGGGGCCGAAACGTCCAAGATAGACCACTAGGGAGCCTGTTCAATGACAATTGCATTTAAAGCAGCTGGCATCAGACTGAGCTGATTTAAGTGTGCAGGTAACCATTACCTGAGCATCTTTTGGCATTATGGATACATGGTGAATTGGATGACACCTATTAACGGCTGTAGGGCTTTCTCATGAGAGCACTGTGCCTGAATCTGTTCTCTTCACTGGGACAATATACTGTAGTTCGTCTTTGATAAAGCTGCAGACTTTGGTGGGATGGATGTCAGTGGGGCTTCTGGGGTCAGGGAGCAATTTTTGCAGGGCCTTGCGCAGTTCTCTTATTCTCTTGATGCACAACTTTTCTTGGAAGTTCCTCCAACACTGCTGTCCATGCTTAGCCCTCCTTCCTAAGAGCAGACAAAATTACGGGCAGCAAGCCTAAGTATTTGAATTTAATTTTTTTTCAGAACTTACTCTGACCAAGTAACATACAGTAGTTGTATCGTTAATTACTTCTGACTGAAGAGCAGCTTTGCATTGGTTAAATGGCAGATAAAAGAACACGGAGATCATGTGCTTGGGAGATTTTAGTTAAAATCTCTTAAGTTTCTCTCCCTTCGTTGCTTTCTTGGAAACTACCTTATTGCTTAGGAACATATGGGCCCAGTCACTGGGAAGTTTTCATTTCTTGGTTTATTCCTATGGGAGGGCAGGCTGCCCCCCTCTTCTGCATGCAGACAAAAACCTTCCTCTTCAGGCAGGCTTTCCTTTAGTGACTGCCTCTCTGTTTTTTTAAAAAAAGGATTATTGTATCTTGCTGCTTATAAATGTGTTTTTAGATTGATTTTATTTACTGTTTTAAATATATTTAAAATGTAAAAATATACGTGTATACTTTTTGCATTTAAATATTGTATTTTTAATTATGTAAGTGGCTTTGGGACTTTTTTTAGGAGAAAGGTGGAGATAAAATATTTTTTAAAAAACAAAATATACTTCGTATATTGCAAGGGCAAATGCTGTCTTTCTCTAGCATTAACAGCTGAATAATTAGGCTCTCAGAGAAATAGAATCTCTAGATTCTAGTCCCCACTGGGATACCGTGCATGAACTGGCCGGCTAATTTAAAACATGCATCTTAAGTCTTAACTGAAAAGAAAGAGGGATGTGTAAAGGCAACATAACTGTAGAGGAGGCATTATTATTTCTTTTATTTGTAGCCTGACTTTCTCTTAATAAGGGGATATTTTAAGAGATAACGTGCTGCCTCATAGTTCAGAATGTGTTTATTCCCAAGCTGTGTACATGACACGTGGAGAATACTATGTGAACGGTCCTATGTGAGATAGGGCATGGCTACACTTCTGATTTGTATCAATTTCAGCTCGGATGTATTTTAAATAGATTTTTAAGAACATGATTTTTATATTGCTGTATGTGTTCACTTTGAAAGTTATTATTCCAATATAAAGTAGAGGCTTTGCTTCGGGAAACTACCCGTGAGATTTTAAAGCATTTCATATTGTTGCTGTTCTGGGCGCTTTGTCAGTGATTGCAACCTTCTCTTTCCCATTTGTTTTCAATGTTGTGCAGGTTTTTATTTTTCGTTTTCAGGCATCCTTTGGGAGATGTGCATTTCTCTCTTTAAAAAAATTTTTTTTTAAGTGACATAGCGAGAACATATGACTTTGGATGGACAGACAGCAGTATTCCTGCCATCTGAAACCTGCAACCACCCACAAAATGGTATTTAATACAACAGGGACATTTATTTTGCCTGAAGTGATTCATAAAGAATTGGTTTCGCAAGCATATTAGATGTAAAAGCCCCCACTGGCTTCTTCAAAAAAAGGCAGGTTTCACCATGCGTCATGTAGCTGTGAATTTTTTAAAATAAATTTTTATTACACAAAACCCAATTCAAAAGCAGTTCTTACTGTTAGTGTAATCACACCCTAAGTTAAAAATCCACTCTGATGTGATACCCAGCACATCTCAGAGACATCTGCAGGCCTGGAATTTTGGTTTGTTGACTGGACTGTTGCAAAGGAAGAGCAGACAAGCGCCAAACAGCAACAGGTCAAGCAGGATTTTTACAGCTGATTTATACTTCTCTGCAAGTCAGATCCCCATGGAACTTGTGATTGAAGGGCTCTTTCCATCTTAAGATGACCCAGCCTTCATGAGAATTAAGATTCAAGTCCAGTATATTTAAGTGTATCTGAAAATCTTTGCTACCTGAATTCACTGTCTTGGTTGAGCAATATCAACATATGCAAAGTGTATGTATTTGCCTATCTGTCTAATCCCCTCCAAACACATCTGCTGTCATTTTGGACATTTCCTAGGCTCCTCTAAGGCCCTATTTCCATGTTACCTACAATGGTGAAAGCATTGTGTAAGTGGAGAACTGGACTTTGCCAAACAGCTCTGGTCTTACATTCCACTGTGCTTGAAGAACACCTGTAAAGATGCATTTTATGATTTAAACGATGGCATTGTTGCCAGTGGAGAGGTCATCAACAACACCGAACTATACAGCATTATTAGTTGACAGATGGTCTGCAGAGGTTGCTCAATAAAATCAGAGAAGAAATGAACAGAGTCTGAAAGCAAACAGTTGAAGAAATGCAGTTCAAGATCCCAAAATGAAAGTGTGGAGTCTGTTGACAAATACAAGTCTCTTATAGCTTGGCTGAATAAAACAGTGAGGCAAGAGCAATAAAACAGTAGTGTCCTAAAGCAGTTATCTTAAAACAGAGAATACAACATGCAATAAAACTTTGCATTTTGCCTGGAAAATGTGTATTACAGTGATCCCTCGACTTACAGACTTTTCGAGGTACAGACTTCTCTGGCCGCAAAATTTAGGTTCGACTTGCAGCCGGAGAATCGACTTAGACCAGAAAAAAACCAAAATGGAACAAAAATGGCCGGTTACAGCATTAATTGTTTTTTAATGCATTGTAGGTCAATGGAGACTCGACCTACAGACTTTTCGACCTGCAGACACTTCCAAAACGGATTAATTCCGTAAGTAGAGGGACCACTGTATGCAGTTCTACTGTACAACAAGGAATCATGAACTGTAACACAGGCGACAATAAAGACTTGAGAAGTAACTGAAGTTGAATGAATAAAGACCAAGGAATCATGTCTGTAATTCATAAACGCGGAAAGCCGGAATTTTTTTCTCTCCAGAGTACATTAGTGACTGAAAGCCAGACATTTATGTCAGATAAGTCAGTGTATTATATATATATATATTTAAAAATCTGCAGATAGCACTGTGGCATTTGTAACCTCATACAAAAATTTCTCACTGAGCTCGGGGATGGGAATCTGTTCTGCCTAAGTAACAGTGTCTCCTTTATGGGGGAAGGGGGCACCCCCCCTCACCTGGAGAGGCCTGAATCCTGTTCTAGTTGCGTACAATCAGTCATATGCCGCAGGTAGTGGGGCATAACTGGGAATGTGGACCCCTTAATGACATTAAAGGCATTTTCTCAAAAAGTTATTTGGTTGGATCACAATTCCAGGATCCCATTGGCTGTGCTGGCTGGGAGGCTTCTGGGAACTGTATTTTTTTTTTAAAAAGGTACCTTTTCCAGGCTAATTAAAAGAACAGTGAGATGGCTCTGCTGGGCTGATGCAAATAAAAGTATGCCTTGGTTGGCACTATGGCAGTCTGACTATATGAATCATTATTCTCATGTTGGACACTTGATGTAACACATCATTTCTGATGCAATCACGATAACAATGATGATATGATTCTTGGTGCTCTAGACACTTCCCTTCCAAACTTGAAGGGCCAGGATTTAGAATATTGCATCAAGTAGCTCCCTTGATTGCTTGCAGAGGTATGAATTGTCCCAAGACACCTAGAACTCCAAACATGACAAGATTGGGGAACTATACAAGGACATGGTGAAAACGGGTGTTCTTTAACGATACTGGACTCTGCATGAGTTGGTAGAATAAGGGGACAGTAGACAAAGCCATGCCTTCTCTAGGAGCCAGCTGATTACTCTGAGGCTTGCTCCCGCGTCTCTCCCATTTCCCTTGTACTACCTTGGACATGGCATATAAAAGTATTTGCTCATGCACTGTTATAAATATCTCTTGCTCCCGACAGACTTTCCAGGACAATGCAGGAAATGAGATTCTTTCCCTCAAGGCTACCTGAAATGACTGGGGCCCGCGATGAATCAAGAGGAGAATGAAAGGGAAAGAGAGCTCATAGGCTAGGACACAGGAAAAAGTGTTCACAGTGAATCAGCTGAAATCTCTTATTCTGTGTCCGGAACTGCAGACAGCCGGCCAGCTTTTGATTACTCACTGTTGAGGAGCCAGTTGTGTATTTATTCTTGGAGAATACTCTTAGAACTGCAGAGCTGGAAAGGACCCTATGTATCATTGAGTACAACCCCTGTCAAGGAGGCACAGTGGGGAATCAAACTTCCAACTAATGGGTCCTCTGCTGGATCCCACTCTTTCCAAAAGGATCAGCAACCCCTCTCCCTGATGTAGCCCCACTGCGTGCTGGAGACATCCAGGGGGCTGGGAAACCCCTAGAATGTCATGTTAGTTGAGGCATGAATGGGAAATGGGGAAAAGTCCCGGTTTCGCTGGTTTTGGATATTGAAGGATGCTGGTAGATCTTGGCTACTCTTGGATGTGCAGGTTGCTAGGCACCTTCTTCACCTTTCTGCCTGCAAAAAATTGAATTAATTTGATGCATTTCTTTAGCTGATACCCAAGCTATGGCAGGTGCAACAGAAGCCACACTGAAAGCTGATGTAACTTCATTGGTCACCACAGTAAAAGGCAATGACCTGTAGTATATCCACAGTTTCACCTATTCTGAAGTATCAGAGCGATCAGAGCAAATATAACAGAACATAAGGTGTGAATTTGCTGTATGTAATGGAGAAAATAAGGCTGGAATTACGTCTAACAATTCAATGTGCAGCAAACTCTACACTGAATTCTGCTTCTAAAACATTACATGATCTGAAACTCTCTGCCAGCATCTGCTGATTAGGCTAGGTGCAGAAATGAAAAATACTACATTAGGAGGAATAGGAGTGGTTGTTTTAGTGTCAGTAGTGTATCTAACATAATGTGTAATTCCAGTCTCAGACAGAGTATTTCTATACTAGCTATTAGTATTTCTGAGAATTCATTCTACCAGAATTAACACTTTGGTGCTTGACGTGACCTCTGAAGGCTTTTATCCCGATTATGCTCAGCTAGAAGTTAATTCTGCTAAAAGAAACTTGTTTGCTGGAAATTTCACCAGTCATTTGCTCAAACAAAATCATTCTGGTAGATGTGAACCAAGAGGAATAGCTGAAAATGTAATCCTAATAATTTTAAATCAAAAGTGTGTGTCCAGTGTGGGCTTATGCCTGAGTAAATCTACTGCATTTCTTAAGAAAAGAAATACACAGCTAGGAGTCAAGACTTCTACAGAGAAAATACTTTCCAAGTTGTATCCACCATTACACTGAACATGGCTCTGTTGTTTGTCCACAGAGTTGTTTCATCTGTGTATCTTTACAATGGTATAGCTGAAACTTTGCACTGATGTTTTAAGGCTACCATTTTTTTTGTTACAAGAATTTCCAGCTTGCTCTAAATGAACTGGCTACACTGGTAAATGTTTTTTTTTTTTGGGGGGGAATCCCAAATAGGGTAATTGTTCTCACTCACCAGTCAATGTACCCATCTTACAAGCTTTAATTAAAAAAAAACCAACAACCCAGAATCTTCATAGTGCTGTGAAAACTGTAATGGAAAAAAAAGGTTTACAATGGTATAGCTGAAACTTTGCACTGATGTTTTAAGGCTACCATTTTTTTTGTTACAAGAATTTCCAGCTTGCTCTAAATGAACTGGCTACACTGGTAAATGTTTTTTTTTTTGGGGGGGGGGGAAATCCCAAAGAGGGGAATTCTTCTCACTCACCAGTCAATGTACCCATCTTACAAGCTTTAATTAAAAAAAAACCAACAACCCAGAATCTTCATAGTGCTGTGAAAACTGTAATGGAAAAAAAAGGTGCTGAGTCACACAGTGCTGCTGCTTTCTCCACTTGAAAACTCCCCCATCGCTCTGGGCAAGGTGAATTTGACGTACCTGCCCCTTTCCCACCCATTCCTAATACGCCACAGTCTTTGGTTCATACATGGAAGATGAAAGAAAAGTTTAGCCAAGATGACAACACATGGTACCAGCAGAGTGAGGGTAAAGGTGGGAGGCAGGTAGAACTTGTACTGGCTTTCATCAAAGGCCCTTGCCCAGCCGTAGGTCAAGGTGTGGAGGGTGCTCACCAACAGAGCAACAAAGCCGAGGGTAGACTAGAAAAGAGAAACAAAAGATGTAGCTGATGCAGTTCTCCAAGCATACTGCATGTAATTAAGACAACTGTATACTTTACAAGACTTTTGGCTACCCTACTCAAGACAGTATTCAAGATCCTACTCAAGACACAAAGCAATGAGTCCAACTGTTGGTCAGTGTAGCAGACTCAGAGGCAGAACTGGACTGCAAATGAACGAAAGACTTTTGGCTACCCTACACAAGACAGTATTCAAGATTCTACTCAAGATACAAAGTCCAACTGTTGGTCAGTGTAGCAGAGGCAGAACTGGACTGCAAATGAACGATAGCTCTGTTGAAGGTGGTGTGCCAGGTTTTGAAATTTTCACATGTGTTATTTGAGCAGATTCTGATATTTAACTCTAGAGGCACTGGTTACACGAGGGGGATTAGCCTCATACAGAATATCTGAGTCTTGCATTTTCTGGTCAGTGCAAGCACAGAATGTCCTGAAAAGTCTACTGATATAGGGTAACACTCAGTTCAGTACTAGCAGAGAGCCATCCTGTGCCATTATCAATTAAGTTTAAATATTGATGGATAAATGTTATTGCTCCTCAGTGCAACCACAATTACACAAAGTGTCAGGGTAACACTGCCGTCAGTTCAGTACTAGCAGAGAGCCATCCTGTGCCATTATCAATTAAGTTTAAATATTGATGGATAAATGTTATTGCTCCTCAGTGCAACCACAATTACACAAAGTGTCTGTATCTTGCGTTGGGCTGTGATGTGTCATTGTGTCTTTCTTTTGGAGCTTGATTCCAAAATAGGATGGACAGTAAGAACACTTAAGCAGCACAGCAACGTGATTCATTTGTGCTGGAACTTCTGAGATGTGTTCCTGGAAACAAACAAAAAAGAACTGTGCACAACTAAGACCCTAAAATAGATAAAACTCATCAATATTAAACATGAACCAATCTATAAGCAACAACTGGTAATATGAATCTCTCTCTCTCTGTCTCTCTCTTGATCTTGGTTTCCTAGTGCACCTCCTTGGCGATCTTTTCTAGTTCCTTCATTGCTGCCCTTCCTAGTGCCAGTCTTCTGATTTCTTAGCTGCAGTCTTCATTTAGAATAATGATTACACCAAGGTATATAAAAATATTTCACTATTTCAGTTTCTTCATGGTCAATGTTAAAGTTGTCTAATTCTTCTGTAGTCATGATTTTTGTCTTAACATTCAATGGCAGTTCTTCTTTGGCACTTTCCTCTAAAAATCAGTTCAAGTCATTGCTGCTTTCTGCTAGTAAAATAGTGTCATCTGCATATTTTAAATTATTAATGTTTCTTCCAATAATTTTCACTTGTCCATCTGAATCTAGTCTGGCTTTCCATATATGTTCTATTTTCTGACTGAACAGATAAGGGGATAAAATGCACCCTTGTCTGACACCTTTGCCTGTAGGAAACCACTCTATCTCACTGTATTCTGTCCTAATGGTAGCTTCTTGTCCACAGTACACATTACATATCAAGATAATCAAATGCTGAGACACATCCATTTCTTGCAGAAGAACCCTTAGTTTCACACCCAGACAATCAAAGGCTTTTGACTACAGCCTTAGTAATATAGGCAAGCATATGGTGAATAATCCAGTGAAAAAGAAATGTTGAGTTTTTGTTTTTTTCACAATTGACATGACTCAGTGAAGACCTTAAAGGCAATGTCTTCTTGAGGATACTTTCTATACATGTAGAACCTTTCACCACTTGGGGGCAGAGAAGCAGTGAAGACCGCTGTTTAGGGGACAAGCAGTTGTGCTAATAAAAAAACATCTGGATATCTCTGGAAAAATGTAAATATCAATATATGATACCTTGAGCTCATCAGTATGAATAGTGTTTGCTAGTATTAAAATCTCATCCCACCGTTTCTGCATCTAATTCATAGAGCTGCTAATACTGGCATTTCAAATCTGTGTTGAAATTTCCAGGAACTCCTCTCTGTGGTGGTGCTGGCTGGCATCTAAGGAGCCACCAGCAGTGCCTCTTTGCAGCCAAGGGGTTTGGGGGCTCTCAGGGTGTGACCAACGATCACGTCTGATACGAAGGCAAAAGGATCCAGAATGGGTTTCTGAAGAATGAAGCCACAGTTTACCTGCGAACCATGCAACTTTTTAGCAATAAAGAAAGTAGCGATTAAACGTGTTGAGAAAGAACACAGTGGCTCCACGTAGAGGTAAAATTTCTAGTGCATCATGACAGACTTGCTTTAACATAAAAATTTAAATTGTGAAATGCAGGAAGAGTAGGAATCAATTCAGCTTTTCTCGCATTTTTTCTCCCCATTTACACTAAAACTCAGTTAATACCTTTCTTTCCTTTTCATGGTGCAACATCTGTACATAGTCTCCACCAGTTAGAAAGGGTTGGTTCTTACCTCAAGGCAGCATTTCTACAGAGTTCAGGGAACTCCCTATAGCTCATTCTATCCTAGCCTCCACATCATTTATGACTATAGCCTCCATCATTCCTAGCCAGCACAGCCATAGCTGGGGAAGGGCAGTGCTAGCGTTGCAGAACCATTTCTCAAAATACTGTTCACTCAGGGTAACAGTATTTCAGAAGTACTAATGAAGCCACATGGATGAGCAAGCCTTAGGGTGTGTTAACCCCTGCCAATGTGGGGGCATACAATCCCACCAAGTGTGAAGTAGCCTCTTCACCAGAACAGTATCAACCCACATGGAACCATTTTGTTGGACAGCATTCAAGCCTGGCTCAAAGCAAAATGAAACTGGATGCTGCAGTTAATCTAATCTGATGGAACTAAATAGGTTTAAATCAAACACTGCTAGAAATAGGTTGTGGAATTCTGCTATTCAAACAAGAACAGTCCTTTAAAAAAGAGCACACTTATCATATAGTACCTTCCATCTTATTGTATCCCAGAATTTATGGCAATTTTTGGGCATTTAAACATGTGCACACACAAGCACACACACACAATTTGGGTGGAGCCTGTCGTTCCAGCCCAACAAGGCTCCTTGGGATCAGTTCTGATGCTTCTGGAAGCACATTTCTCTCTGAAGTAAACTGAACTAGCCAACTGGACAGCCTCCCCTGCTTCTTGCGACCTGCTCTCTTTGCACTTACGCTTCAGCCAGAACACTTCACACACCTATTTATTTGCGCAGCGCTCCTGCCAGGAGGAGATCAAGGCTGGGGGTGGGGGGATGGGCAGTCTGCTATTTACTTCTAGGCATCTGCAGGCTTGCCTACCCTTGTCTCCTTGCTCTGACAGGTGCCTCCGCTCACCTAGCTCGCCTCTGCCCAGTGTGAGCGAGTAGTTCACCTTTTTGCCAAAGTGTGGCGCTCCAGCCTGTGATCCGGGAAACACTGTGCCCCAACGAGCGTAGTGCTTAGTCTTGGCAGGTGCCCATCTGACTGATTGCCCGCTTTCTCCACTCACGTCATCTGCATGCTGGCTGCCTTTACGCTGCTGCACGTTCCCACTGTTGTCCTCATCCCTCCGACCACCACGTTCACACTGTCTTTGCTTGGCTCAAATAAAGGATGGCAGCTATACGTAGAGGTCTGTCTTGCTCATGGTTAAGGAAAAGCTGTACCTGCTGAGACGGCTTCTTGTTAGGATCTCCTAAGATTGGCACCGGTGCATGGAATTATGGACAAAGCAAGGCCAGATGAGAGAGGGCTCAGATGGGACTGTGAGGTGGTCTGTGTACCCTCTAATGACACCACGCTTCTCCACTCAAAAAAGCCTTACACTTATTTCCCACCATCGTAACTAGCTCCCAAACTCGTATTTGCTTGTCTGCGGACATCTCTGTGTTATGTGCCATTTTCACACAAATGGCTTTCTCCAAATAGCGTGCAGGGGGGTCCTCATTCCCCGGGTGTCAGGGCTCCCTTTCTGCACATCACTGCATATCCTTCTGAAGCTTTGCAGATTTCCTACTTCGTGCAGCGCGTACTCTCTCTGCCCCTTGCAGAACAATAGGGAACTAAAGGGACAAGCGCGTCCTTTTTTGGGATATGCAACCTACCCACCTCCCATGATGCTTGCATGAACCCGAGCCATCTCTGAAAGAGGAGAGGCTCCTTGGTCCAGGGGGAATAATTTCTTTCCTGGCAGGAAGAGAGAAGGCAGCACAAATGACCTGAAAGCTATTTTGCATTTCTGGCTTAGATGAGTAGCAAAACAAGCACAGCAAGCACTCGGCAACAAATGTCAGTGCAGGAAATGAAGAGACTGATTTAAGTGAATTTGCAGGAGCAATCTGCGAGCAAGCGGAGACGTGGTTTGATTTTGCTAGGAAGTCAGGACCCATCTTCCAAACTGTGAGATCTATTTATATATACTGTGCTGTTTTTACAGGGCTTCAGTCCATTCCCCTATAAAAGCTGAAGCCAACCTCACACAAAAGCAGCACAGCTTTTTGATCTGATCCGTTTCTTCTAATGTGCAGCTCATGGGAACAAAATACCTTGGTTTTACAGTATATTCTTAGCAGCTAGTTGTTTTCTTTCATAGGCATCTCAGTTAACTCAGGGGTGCGGAAAGGAAAGCCTTTCCCAATACTATGGATTATCAATCACTGTGCATCCTAAATGGTACCAATACGAGTTGTAGGCCAAAACATCTGGAAGGTCAGAGGTTCCCTACCTGTGATTTACCTGCTCTATATCTCTTATATTTAGTACAAGACTACACTGGAACCATGAGATACTCCTCCTCTGTTATTTAGTGGAGCCAAATCCCTGTAAGCAGGGTGGATAAAATCAATGATCTTTTTAAAAATCAAATTGACTTAAATCACAATTTTAACTTTAAAAAATTAAATTTTACACTTTGCCTGTAACTACATGACTTAGCTTAGAAGTTTCAGTTACACCAAAATTAGTGAGAAGTTATTCCTTGTTAAGCGGCAGTTTTAACAAACTGGAGCTATCTGTTTTGTTTACTGGAAAAATGATTAATTACTAGTGATCAGTTATTTGGAACTGGTTATGTCAAAGCTCTGCTCATGTTATTCAGCCCACGGCTCGTTAGCAAGGCCTGCAAAACTCTACCTGTTTTCCGATTGTCTGGTCCAATGAGACAAGCAGGCCATGGTCTCCTGTCAGGAACCCATCTAAGCTGCTGAAGACTTCAAGTGCAAACCCCTTGAGATGAAGTTTATTGTTGCTGCCGTATACTGACAGATTCTGTCCTAGACTGAAATGAACACTCAAAGCTTGTGTGGTATCTAGCCTTGGTCTGGGACCCAGCCTGTGTCTTTCCTATGGCATAGTTTGGGACTTCATCCTCTTTCAGACAGTTTCGACACAAAAAGAATAAGGGGGGCTGAAAAAATGATCAAGGGTTGTAGGTGGGCGTATGCTTCACTTGTGAAACATTCCAGATTCAGTCCCAGGCATCTCCAGACAGAGCTAGAAGGGGTTTCTCTCTGAAGCCCTAGAAAGCTGCTCTTAAATCACTATGAACACACTTAAACGTGATGGGCTAATGTTTTGACTTGGTATAACAAGGCAGCCTCCTTTTAGTTATGCTATAGGTACTCTCGATCCGTCACTGGAGGAGACATTGCTCTCTGGTTGAGCAATGGATAGTTCTTATCTAGCGTACATATGCACACCCCTTGTAGATTAGGTGGCACTGTAGCCAAAATCCTGTTGATTAGCATATTAAGTTATAACTAGAGTAGGCCCATTTGGATTAGTGGAACTCACAGAAGAGCTGACTTATCAAATCCCCATGGTTTCAATGCCCCTACTCTACTAAGCAAACAGGATTTTGGCCACTGTGTGATTGTCTAGGCCACTGATGGCAA